GTGGGGCTGCCCGCCGGGCTGCTGGCCGCCGCGGCGCAGCTGAGCCAGTGCCGCACCGTGCTGCGCCTCTTCGACGACCTCGCCATGCTCTGCCACAGCCGCGGCTACGGGCTGGGGCCCAAGGTGAGCGGCGGCGCCGCCATGACGGCGACCTGCCCGTTGTAACGGCGCCGTCGCGGGGCGCGATGGCAAGGGCCCGGGGCAATGGCCGCGCCGCAGGGCATGCTAGGAGGGCCGCGCTGAGGCCGCGGCGCCGTCTCCCCGCAGGACGAGGACGCCGCGGTGCGCGCGCTCTCGGTGCTCGCCAACGTGGCCGACCAGCTGTACTACCCGTGCGAGCACGTGGCGTGGGCCGCCGACGCCGGCGTGCTGCGCGCCAGCTCGCGCGCGTGGTGGGCGCTCAGCACCGCGCTCTGGGCCCTCTCCCTGCTCCTCGGCATCCTGCGGTAAGGACGCGGCCGGCCGCGGCCATGGCGCGAGGAAGCGGCGTCTCTGCCAGGCAGACACCCTGCCATAACGCCCCGCTCGCCCCTTTGCAGGTCGCTACGAGTTCTGCTGCAGCTGAGGAGGAAGCTGAAGCAGCACACGGGGTACATGGCTCTCCTTGGCCACGATGTCACCCAACCATTTCTCGCTGCCATAACCCCTCAGGGGGCCGCTCTGAATTATCACTACTCTCCTAATATTGCTATTTTTATTTCCAGCAGTAAATCGTTGTCTCCGAGGCAGAAGAAGCTGAGAGCTCAGGTGAAGGCTGAAGTTCTGAGCGTCGTCAGCAGCTTGGCGGATCTCTGCAACGCCGTCCACTGGCTGCCCCCGGGATTCCTGTGGGCCGGCCGCTTTCCTCCGTGGTTAGTGGGGCTCTTTGGGACCGTCTCTTCCCTAATCAGCATCTACCAGGCATCTGCAGGGAGAAATTCCGAGGCTGTGTGATCTGGAAATCAGCTTCTGGAATCCATTTTCTCCTTGTGTGCTGCCAGCAGGATATTTTAATTTGTCTAGGTGTCAATGATTGTGATTCCGTGAATCCTATAATTGAAACTGGGATCGAGATCCCTTTTACACAGAGGATGGATTAGGGTTAAATTAGTCCTTCTGGCTCTTCATGACATGAAGCTCTTTGAGGCGAATGCTCTGGAAATTGTGCAATCTCCGAGGGGGAAATTAGGTTACGGGTAACGGATGTGGCCACGGCTCCGTTACGCAAAACTTGGGCAAGAGAGAGAGATCCTGAGAGATTCTCGTGCTCCATGCCCAGCGCTCGGGGCCTCATCAGAAAGCAGCGGGTGACCTGAACCCTGCAGGTTTCTCCATCAGATATTTTGGGTTTTGAGGCGGTATTTGGGTTTTGAGGCCGGTCAGCTGCCCCAAGCGCAGACAGCGGCCGAGGGAGGCGGGTTTTACCCGTGACAGGTGAGTTGCTTTAGAGGTGACGTGGGAAGGGAACGGCCGCCGTTAGCGGGGTCTCGCTAAGCTGCTTGCAGTCAGTATTATCACGTAAGGAGAACGAAGAGACGTCGCATCCAGGCTCAATCAAAGCGTGCGGGACCTTGAGCTGTGCCTTACCGGAGCACCACGGGGTGGAGCTCTTCCACCGGCCGCCCAGGGACATGTTAAAGCAGCAAATTTATTAACCGCCTTCCGCCGATGGGATCAAACGACCGCGGACGGGAGTTTTGCAATCGGATTCCAAGCCAGGCCAATAATAAAGGAGACGAATGTTCCAAAGGTGGCCTTGAGTGCTGGTTGCTGCTGATAACAGGACACCCGCGCTTGATGTGCCCCTGGAAAGTTCCAAACTGTTCCCGGGGCAACAACCAAACTGTTCTCAGGGCAACAAAAGGCGTTTGTGCTGCGCTGGCTAAAGCGGCGCGAGCGCCCGCCCCGGGACCCGTTCATTCAGAGCCCCCAACTACTTCATTTCCCTGGAGAGGCCTCTTCTGAACCAGTCCCGCTCAGTCTGCAGAGCGCTCGTGTTCCACGCGGCTTCATAGCTGGTGTTCTGCTGCTCCTAGCCGCTCTTGGCTTCATTTTTATTACTTTTCAGTATTTTGGCTTCATTTTTATTACTTTTCAGTATTTTGGCAAGGAGAGGAGGGACTTGGCTCCTACCCCAACGCACAGAGCGCGGCCGGGCCCTGACGCTCTTTATGTCTCGTGCTGTTCTGGGTTCCCCGCGTGGCTGCGGGACGGAACGAGGCTCCTGCTGGGGTGAGGGGGGCACTTCTTGCCGGGCTATCGCGATAGCGACATCGCGACGGCGACACCGGGGGTCCCCCGGGGAGGGGGCGGGGGAATTGCGCAGCGGCGCATGCGCGTTGCGGGCCCCGCGATCCCATTCACAAAAGAGCGAGCCGAGGGCGCTGCGGGCGCTGATTGGCTGCGGCGCGGCTGCGTCACACGGGGGGGCGTGTCCGGCGGCGGGGAGGCCACGCGGCGCCGGGGGCGGCGGCGCAGAGCGCGGCGGCAGCAGCGCCCGGTCCCGCTCCCGGTTGCTCCGCGTCCCCCCTTCCCGACGCGACCTCCCCTCGGGACAGCCGCGCGCGGGGACTGCGCGGCCCTTCCTCGCAGCGCCGCGATGTCCGTGAGCAGCCACGAGACGCGCAAGTCGCGCTCGAGCTCGGGCTCCATGAACATCCAGCTCTTCCACAAGCCGGGCCACGCCGAGAGCCTCCTCACGCAGCTGAACCTGCTGCGGCAGCGGCGCCTCTTCACGGACGTGGTGCTGCGCGCCGGCACACGCGCCTTCCCGTGCCACCGCGCCGTGCTCGCCGCCTGCAGCCGCTACTTCGACGCCATGTTCGGCGGCGGCCTCAAGGAGAGCCGGGACGCCGAGGTGAACTTCCACGACTCGCTGCACCCCGAGGTGCTGGAGCTGCTGCTCGACTACGCCTACTCGGCGCGCCTGCTCATCAACGAGGAGAACGCCGAGTCGCTGCTTGAGGCCGGCGACATGCTGCAGTTCCAGGACGTGCGCGACGCCGCCGCCGACTTCCTGGAGAAGAACCTCTACCCGGGCAACTGCTTGAACATGCTGCTGCTGTCGGACGCGCACTGCTGCCAGCGGCTGCTGGAGCTCTCCTGGAGGATGGCGCTGGCCAACTTCGCCTCCCTCTGCAAGAGCGAAGACTTCCTGAGGCTGCCCAAGGCCAAGCTGCTGGAGCTGGTGCGGAGCGAAGAGCTGGAGGTGGAGGACGAGACCCTGGTGTACGAAGCCGTCATGGGCTGGATCCGCTACGACCTGCCGCGGCGCCACGAGGAGCTGCCGGAGCTGCTGCGCTCCGTGCGCCTGGCCCTGCTGCCCGAGTCCTACCTGCGGAAGCGGGTGGCCTGCGAGGAGCTGGTGACGAGCCACAAGCTCGGCCAGGAGATCGTGGCTGACGCCGTGCGCTGCAAGATGCGGATCCTGCAGAACGACGGGCTCGTCACGGGCTGCTGCGCCCGGCCCCGCAAGGTGAGCCAGGCCCTGCTGCTGCTCGGCGGCCAGACCTTCATGTGCGACAAGATCTACGTGCTGGACCGCCAGACGAGCGCCATCATCCCCCGCGCCGACATCCCGAGCCCTCGCAAGGAGTGCAGCGCCTGCGCCGTGGGCTGCAAAGTCTACATCACGGGCGGCAAGGGCGCCGAGAACGGCGCCTCCAGAGACGTCTGGGTTTACGACACCCTCCACGACGAGTGGGCAAAGGCCGCTCCGATGCTCGTGGCCCGTTTCGGCCACGGCTCCGCCGAGCTGGACCACTGCCTCTACGTGGTGGGCGGCCACACGGCAGCCAGCGGCGCCTTCCCCGCCTCGCCCTCTGTCTCCCTCAAGCAAGTCGAACACTACGACCCGCAGCTGGACAAATGGACCCTGGTGGCCCCGCTGCGGGAGGGCGTCAGCAACGCGGCCGTCGTGGGCGCCGGGACGAAGCTCTTCGTTTTTGGCGGCACCAGCGCCAACCGGGAGAAGCTGCCCAAGGTGCAGTGCTTCGACCCGCGCCAGAACCGCTGGACGGTGCCCGCCAGCTGCCCCCGGCCCTGGCGCTACACGGCCGCCGCCGTCGTGGGCAGCCACGTGCTCGTCCTTGGCGGCGACACCGAGTTCTCGGCCAGCTCCGCGTACCGCTTCCACAGCGACAGCTTCCAGTGGTCCAAGCTGGGCGACGTGAGCGCCAAGCGCATCAGCTGCCGGGCCGTGGCCTCGGGCAACAGGCTCTACGTGGTGGGCGGCTACTGCGGCGCCCGGCGCTGCAAGACGCTCGACTGCTACGACCCGGCCTCCGAGACCTGGAGCAGCGTCACCACGGTGCCCTATTCCCTCATCCCCACGGCCTTTGTCAGCACCTGGAAGTACTTGTCCGCTTGAGCAGGTAAAGAGCTGCGTCCCCGGTGGGCACATAGGGACGTTTGGGCCCAGAGCTCTGGCTCCTCAGGCTTGTTGCTGCATGAGGGTTAAACCCTGAGGTGTGGATGCTACTGCATCCCGGTTGGAGCCGTCCTGGAGCAGCCCTGTGCCGACATCGGCTCCAGAACCTGCTCCCGGGCTAGCGGTGATGCCTCAAACCCTGCGGGAGTCTCTCTAGATGCTCCCGATGCTGTGGGAGAAGATCAGTGCAAAGAACAGAACATGAAACCCAACGTGGGAGCCCTCGCACCGCGTCTTGGCCCCTGCGGGGATTTTTGGGGATGCTTCTCTGGTCCCCTGCTTGCCATTTCTTTTCTGTCACTTCTTGCTTTTTAAGAAGTTTGCAACTGAAATGGAGCCTTTTTAGAAACTCTTGGCGGAAAAGAGGCCAGAATCACAGATCCCAGGGGGTTTATTCCTTTTCCTTGTGAGAGAGCTAGAACCTAAATGAATGCTTGACACAATAAAATGTTCTCTTAATGTTAATATGTTGTGTTAATAACACCTAGAGACCACTCCTGGCACAATACCCAAAGGGAAGGAGAGGGAAGTAAGGAGCAGTTCCACAGGAATGGATTTCCCTGCTAGTTTCGAGGTCCTTGGGTTGAAGGCACCTTCTTCCCAACACCCTTCTACGCTGCAGGGTTCACAGCCCGTTTTGCCAGGGTGTCACTTCACCAGGGATCCAGACTGAAGACCGGGCAGCAGGAGAGGCTCCCGTCTACCTAGCGAGCCCTTGAACTTCCACGCCTGGACACCACCCCTTGCAGGGATCCGATCTGCAGGGATCCGATCCGCAGGGTTTGAACTGCTTTGAAACGTGGAGCAGGGAGAGACCGGAGAGCCCCCCACGGACTAGCAGCTTGTGCTGCCCCCTGAGCTGACAGGAGGTCTCCAAGTTTTCCATTAACTCCCGTGATCTCCGAGCGGGAGTTAGAGGAATATTTTTTATTCCTTACGTTTATTTTATTTTCGCTTTGAATGATGTTTACTAGAAACAAGAACGGAAGCTCCAGTCCCTGTGACTTGGAATGCACTCAGCACCAGAGGCAGTTGCCCCAAGTGTCTTAACACTCGCCACTTACTTGCCCGCGGGCCAGCTCTGTGTATTTTTTATACAGCACTGATGTGTGTGTTTATTGCCCAGCCTGGTGCTGCTTCAATAAATCTGAACCCAGGCTGCCGCGTGCACTGTCTGCTCCGTGTGCTTCAGCTGCGACCTCTCCCCGCCCGCGCTCAGGATAAGGCTTAGCTCAAGCAGCCCAGAGCTTTCCCTGCTGCAGGGTCCCAGCCTTAACCTGCACGAGGCTCAAATTGTCCCCTGCCTTTGTCACTCGGGGCTCAGGCAAAGCCCAGGTGCCAACTGCCTGCGTGTTTGACAGACACCCCAACCTGTTTCTCCGGAGCCCTTCTCAGCCCTTACCTGGGCATCCTGTTTTCCTCCTGGCCCCGAGGAACGAGGACGAGCTGCAACTTCTAGAGCAGCGAGGAAAGAGCAGCTCTGTTGCAGCGGGGCTCAAAGGCAGAGGAACCGGTGCGGGCAGAGGCAACAGGCACCGCAGGTGCAGTCAGATGCAGCGAGCACACGGTCTGGGTGGGATCTGCAGAGAAGGAGAGAGCCGGGATGAGAAGCGGGCAGGAGGCGCCTTTATCCCTGTTGTTTAGCAGGAAGCTGCTTCCTCTTTTCTAAAATCTGTGGCTAACGTGGAGGGTGGGACGAGGCGGGTGAGGAGCCAGGCTCGCTCGTGGCCGTTGGAGCAGCAGCTGTTTCCCAGCTGCGTCCGCCTCGCGCCGGGGCCAAAGCTGCTTCTAGGGGCCTGTTCCTGGCACCAAGGAGCTGCTTTTTATCATCTTCATCCTCCCGTCACCTGCAGAAAGGCCCATCCCGGCTCTCCGGCTGCAGCTGCTCCGAGGGGGAACCGGTTCCCAGGTGCGGAGGGTGCTCCCGGGGCAAAGCAGCCACCCTTTCCTCAGGCGAGCTCCGCTTTGGGCCCTGCACCGACCTGTTTTCCCAGTTGGATGTTTCCGAGCGCTGATCCAATCTCTGCCTCGGAGGCCGGAGAGCTTCGGCTGCATGAAGTGCAGCCCAGATTGGTGGAGGGGGGAATCTGGTCACTGGGAGAGAAATCCTGAGTTAATACCATCCGCTCGGGCTCTCAGCAGAGCTCCAAACAGCATCTCCTGCTTAGGCAGGAAAACAATTCTCATGGAAGTTTCTCATGGAAATGCGTGTAGTCCTCCCCAATCAGTAGATTCCCACATCCATGTGTGATAATGGCAAAAAGAAGAGCATAAATTGAGATGCTGCTTTCCTGGATTGGAGCAGCCGTGGATCATCTGTGGTGCTCCCGCTAAGGAAGAACGGCACGTTGCTGGTTTTGGTGACACACTGCGGTGACAAAAGGACCCCCAAGTGCTGCACGGCGCGGACAGCGTCACTTTGCCCGGGAATTCAGCTCTGTGCAGCTCAGGGGGACCTCGACACACGGCCCTGGAAGGGCATGTGTGGAGCAGAGAGGCCCGTCCTGCTCCCTTGCAGCTCTGCAATCCCTGCGCGTTCAAGCGGCCCGGGAATGGGGAGCACGGGCCTCACACCCCACTATTTGTCTGGTTTTTATCCCCCGCCAGCTCCCGGTGGCAACCAACGACGTGGGTTTTACCCCAGGCCAGACCCACACGTCTTGTCTGCTGCCCCCTGGCTTAGCCCCGGCTCCGGGCTGGGAAAACAGACTGGATTTGAGGCACAGGGCTGAGGAAAGGCAAAACCCAGCGCGGTCCTGCTGCCGGGGTGCCCAGGGAGCCGATATTTGCCGCGCTGGGTTTGCTGCGCTTGTCCTCGAGCAGCTGCCTTTGCCAGGGAATCTCAGACACCGTATGGGAACCAGCTGCCGTTCTGCAGCCACATGAAAGAGGAGGGTTTAGCATAAAGCCGGTCCTTGCCTATGGCCTCACAATGATTCACCCGAATAGAAAGAATGTGGTTTGGGTTTCGGGTTAATTATCTGCAGATTTTAAATGAGACAAGGCAGGGTGGAGCTGCTGGAGCACTGGAGCGAGCAAGTAACAGCTCGGAACACACTGCGGCTGTCCCGAGCTCACACCCTCCTTGTGACAACTGCAGAGGGGTGACAGCGTCACCGACGGTACAGTCGGCCCAGGTGTTTACATACACCCGTCTGTCCTGCTGTTGCGGCAGGATCTGAAGCAGAACACGGAGACACCCACGGCTGCAGCAAGGCAGAGCTTTAACCAATGCAAGCTCTGCCAGGGAATTAAAGTTGCCCCTATGGAGCCCGCGGCTGTTGCAGCCGGACAGGCCCCGGTGCCGCACTGGGAACCGGCGCCGCAGGGAAACCTCTAACCCCCATTAACTCCCTGTGCCGGCCGCATCCAGCTCCTCTGCCTTTCCCAGAGAGGCTTCCACTTGGTCTGAGGCACCGTCAGGGCTGCAGGAGGGAACAGAGCAACTAAAGAGTCCTCTGCTCTGGAAGTGCTGCCTTCTAGCTCAGCTGGCGCCTGTTCCTTCCAGCTGTCGCCGGGAAGCTGCTTTCATTCCCTTCCCTGTTGCAGAACAGTGGTTAGGAACACACAGGAATTGGTTTTGCCCTCTTTCTAGCAGCAAACTAGAGCTGAAAGAGCACAGAGGTAGTGACCTCCAGTGGCCGCTGCCGCTCAGCGACGCTGATGAGCGAGCAGGAGCACGGAGCTGAGGTAACTTCTCTTTAAATGCAAATAAAAACTTTGTACGTGCCGTTTAAAATGCTGTTCTCAAAAAAACAGCCTTGCTTCCTATAAAAATCACAGGCATATTGTAAGCTGCAGTGTCCCAAGAAGTTTTAAATTAGTTGCATACATTGGAAAACTAGAAAAGTCTTCCAATTCAGAGTTGCAACACAGAGGCCAAGAGCATCTCACTGGAATCCGCCCTGCATTTCTCAGCCTCTGACTCCTATGCCCAAAGAGCCTGGGCTCTGCAGAAAGGCTTCGAGATACCCAGTCCCTGCACAAGTTGCTTCAGGCTGCACCTTGGGCACCGTCCCATCCAGAACATCTTCCTCAACAGTCATTCTAGGGAGCATCTGTCCAAGTCCCGGTTCTCCTGCTCTCGCCTTGGTTTTGCATCTACTCTAAGCTCCAGGACTATCTGAGGCTGTGGCCTTTGGGCTTGCTTGTTAGCGAACCACAAATGAGGATTTTTGTAGGAAATGCAACCGACTCTGGAGCCGGGGCTCCAGGGACAGTGGCTACGGGACAGTGTGGACAGCAAGGGCTGCCTGAGGGACACAAGCAGCAGGCAGAAAAGTCTCTCTTTTTGTTATACGTGTTCCAAAGGGGAACCGATACCGTCTGGGACGGAGTCAGGCGTGTCCCAGACCAGCCCCATGCAAAGGGCTTGTCAATATAAGTTATGTTATAATGTGTTATAGTATAACACTATAGTGTTATACACTACACTATACACTACACTATGTTGTATTCTTATAATATAACTTTGCTCCGCTCACCCTTTCACTGCCGACTGAGCTCAGTCACTCGGAGAGCAGCTGATTCTCTCCAGAGCTCTCAGCCCACTGGAAAGGGCTGCCAATAGCAGTACCTGCCACTTGCTTCATCCTACGGAGTCCTCTTCTCTGGAAAACCCCCAGTTCTCTTCACACAGCAGCTTATTTCTGTCCAGGGTAGAAAATGAGAAGCACATGAGAAATGCTGCATTGATCTTTGATCCAAATATTTATGCCAAATGGAAGTAAAATAAATAAATAAATCTCTTAAAGCCGTCAGTTTTTAACTTTTTTTTTTTATTGCTAGAAGTTGGTCTCAGTCCTATTGCAGCTCTGAAATCCTTCAGTGGAGAAACATTGCAATCATTGTAAAAATCATCATTTGGTGTGCTAAGATCAAGTTTACAATTAATCAAGAGTGCACAATTCAACAAAATATTAACATTTAACCATCGACTTTACAAATAAAATAAGGACTACAAAGATGTTCCTATTGAGTATCAACAGTAAAGGACCTATTTACAATGTTTACACCCTAAAAAAAAAAAAAAAAAAAAAAAAAAAAAACCCAAAACACTTCCCCAACAAAATGTTCAATTTAACCACAAACCATGATTACTTATTAAATCTTTCAGTGCAAGGTGGGCCTAGAAACCAGACCTAAGACTGAACACAATCAGGAGAGTTCACAGCTCTTGAGTGAGATGCACGCAATGACACCAACAGGATTTCCTTCCACGAAAGGTTTCCTTCCAGGGACGAACACGAGTGGGATTGGACATAAACTTTTCTAAAGTGCTCCAATTTCTCGTCGTACAAAAATATAAAACACTGATTTATAAACATGGCACAAGTGGTATCAGATGTACAAGATGCTGATGGGGAACGAGGAGGAGCCCTCGGTGGTCACAACGCTGCTGGGTCTGGCCTTGGGTGGAGGGAAGGCTTTTCTTTTACTCAGTAAGGGGGTGATGCAAGGAGGGCAAATACTTGACCTGTTGCCAAGAGGATTTTTCTTGTGTGTTTTCTTGAGAACTGCTGGGGAAGACAACAAAACACTGAAAATTCCTTTGCACGGGGGGCATGACACACAGGGACACCACTGAGCAGCACCAGGGGAGCCGTAGCCCCCTTTCCGAACAACTGAAGGTGGAGCTTAAACTAAACAGGTAGCTTTAACCCTTGGCTAGCCTAATTTTTAACTTCTGCTGTAAATGCAAATGGCAAACACCAAGTTCCATGGGCACAGGAGCAGCTGACCACTATGCACAAGGACAAAAGTGCCAGGAAACTATTTAGAGCTAGTCCTACCTCTGCAGGAATGCGACTGCCTTGGGGAGCAAGCACCTCTAGCAACATCAACTCTCCTGCTGAAGCGGTTAGCGGGTCCAATGTGTGGAAGAGGCCACAGCAACGATCCACAGACAGCACACTGCAAAATTAGGGGAGTATTTACAGTAGAGGCAGGGCAGGCGTGCGCAAAATTGGTGAATACGGAGGGCTCTTCGGTCTGAAATACAAAACGACCAGAGTCTGAATGGGGAGGAGCAGAGTTTAGAACTGAAGAGCAAAACCGCGGTCTCTACTTCTCAACATCACAATGTTAGACACAAATAAGATCAGAGTTTTAAGTCTGTGACACAGAGCAAAGGAAAAGACAGTTCAAAACTTGCGCTCGAATTCCATCTTAGCTTAGGGAAAAAAGCCAAGAAGCACCTGGGAATTTCCAACTGCCTAATCCTTTGACATCAATTAGAAACCAACTTTTATTTTAAGCAACCAAGGCAAATGGGAGGATTTTACTTAGAATATAAAGCAGGTCACTTAGCCCAGGACACAGCAGCCTTTGTTTAATCTAATTTGCTTCCAAATAATTTACCTGGAATGACTCAATGACAGATTAAACTTTGCAAGAGTGAGATGACTTTTTTGTTGTTTTTTTTCCTCTTAAATAAAGTCTTTTATTTACTTCCCTCTGCTTTCTACAAATAATTTCACCGTACTCTGGTTTGTCACTGCACTAATGACGACTCTGTCAGCATTTGCTAATTCTAAAGCCTCTCCCTAGCCGGGTACTGTACAGGAAACCACATCAGTACCTAGAATGGCACATAATGGTTTTCCCCAAGGGACTCCTAAAAACCTGGTAATGGAAGGAAATGGGGACATAGCATTTTCACTAGGAGTGGCCCAAACCACAGCATAAAAGCAAGAACATACTGTGCATTCCCGCTGCTTGGCTTGACTGTACGTTTATGGAAATAAAATACAAGACCCTTGGATGACTGGAGCCTCGACATCTGCAGGCTGAAAAATGTTTCCTATAAAGCTTTTGGATCTTCCGTGCTGGCTCCATCAGCACTAATGTCACTTTTAAGAAGATTTTTCCTCCATTTCAAGCATTTAGGAATGGAGAAGTTAATACAATATAGAATTATGTTCTAACTGTCATCAACATCACATAAATAATACAAAAATTACTATTCTCCCAAGAGTGACCACACCGTATTTCACTAACTTAATCACTGATAACCACTTAACCGTTTTTCACTAATTTAACCACTGATGATCAGTTCTGCACAACTGACGACTTACCAAGCAATACTTTGGTATTAGAGTGAAGCAAATCCTATTTAATGGTAATAATTGGTTCTGGTAACAAGCCAGCTGGTTTGAAGTCTCCTCTCGTTCAAAATGTCGCAAGTCCATTGAATTCAACAGCATTGCTTTAGGTTTACACCAGTATGAGTTCACCAAGAAATAAGCATTAAACCCAGGAAGCACTACAGGAGTGCTTGCTCCTCCTGTACGGGATACAGGATCAGTATTTCATCACTTATCTTTTTCCTCTCACACCAACCGGTAAACTTGGATATTTCAACACTCCAAATTATCCCCAGTTGGACACAAACTTGCTATTTCCTGGTGAAAATTTATAATGCTTCTTGCATTGCAACTTCTGAGCTTGTTTTAAAACCTCCAACCTGTGAAATTACTGTCTTAAAGAACACTGCAAGTGTTGCCCCTGCCCTAGCTACTGAGACAAGGTCAATGATTTGCTAGGCTGCAATTCAGTTCCATTAGCACAATGGAGAACTGATTAGGTCTGCCACCCACCTGTGCTAAAATCCCTTTAAAGCAGGGTTAAAGATACAGCAAACTATTCTCATGCAGATTCTGAAAGGTATTAACCCATGTTTTGAAGCTTGGAGATGCTGATTTCCCCAATTCTGTAGCAATGCCCTACGAACCACCTCCTCTGTGCACAATATATGTGACTGGCCACCTTCAAAACGTCCTCCCTTAGGTAAAAACTGAGATACAAGAACAACATACACCAGACGAGTGTGCAAATTACCACAAAGGTGCAGAATGCCTTTTGGCCACGCCTACGTTAACAGCATCACCATTTCATAATTAAAAACTGACCCATTTCATCGGTGTGCAGGCTGGCTTGGCTTTGAGCTGCTAAACCAAGGGGGTTTAGCAAACAGTACATTTCTTAAGACACAGTGCGTTTTTCCCTTCATTCCTAACAGTTTTGCAGAGAAGGCTCTGCAGGAACAGCAGCTTTCTTATCTTCTGGTCCTTGCAGTGATGTCCCATTCAGCTAGCAGACCAACAAGAGAGCTTAGGATTAGGCAAGACAATAAACTGCTGTGTTCAAACACTTCTGGTATCTTCAGCAAGCCTCCAAGTCCATTCTGAAGCAACTCATGTTTTGCCTGGGAATCTGCACCGCTCTCACTACCGTGGACAATGACCCATGTAGGTATCTAAGGACACAGCTTCCCTCTAGTGCAAGTTGAGGGCCCAAAAATGTGCATTTAGTCCAACTCTTCATTACTGGGGAATATTTTGACATGTCCAACGCTTCGTGTCCACAAGACGGTGCAGTTCCTGATCCTTGAAGACTCTTAGGCAGCTTACCTTCTCTCTTCTACTGTACCTGGCCAGTGAACGTGTTCCACTGAGTCACTAAAGGAACAGAATTGCTAGTCTGGCTCCTGTGAGTGGGTCCCAGAAGGGCTGCAAGGAGACTGGCTTGCTAGTCAACTAGTTAATGAAACATAGTTAGCATAATCCGTTATAGTGACTGCCTACGGTCATATACACGGTCAAATTATACATACAAATAATGGATTTAAAAATTCTCAGCCAATGCAGGCCTACTACTAAAATTTTGTACATAAAAAATGTGGGAGGTTCGACATGAATTAAAACAGTTTACTTCAAAAAATGGTGCTCACAAAGAGCATAGATTCACCAAAAAGAGCAAATTACAGTAAATAGCAGCATTTAAATATGTTCTGAATGGATATATCCTTGCCATGTATCAATATGTTTCCACATTTGGAGACATTAAAAGCAAATTATTACTACTGTGTCCTCATTATTCTGAGCTGCTGGCAGAGAAACCAACCAAGTTAAACAGTAATCCTGGTCTGGTCCTTGCTAGTATTAATGGGGCAGGCATGAAAAGACATCCACATCAGCTCGCTGTCACGTAGAACACTTGCGCCTGAGTTCTTCAAACAGTTATGTCAAAAGACTAATCTTTACAGGGAAACACTTAGAAAAAAATGACATCTTCTTTGCTGGTATCATCTTGCACGTTTAACAGAGTCGGCTGGGAGGCCACCAGGGTCTGGACAGGAACATTACTGGGCTTGAATAAGTTTGCTGAGGCAGACGAAAGTGCTTCTGGCTGAGCATCAGTTGGGCCATACGATTCTGGAGAAAGAGAGAGAGAAGGAAGATTCACGACACTGCCCAGAAAATCCCACGTGTCTGCACAGAGCAGCAAGCCAAGACAAACCTGGCTGGAACGCAGCGGTCTGGCTGCTTGGGAGGACTGGGCTTGCTGAGCGACGGCCTCTCAAGACACCCTCGTCTCGTCCAACAAGTTTGGGGGGAATCAGCTGCTTCTGGTCAATAGAGGCTGAAAGAAAATATTTTACAAGTTACTATTTCATCCTAGCAGTACAGAGATTCCATTGTTTCATCCTGAGCCCATTTTACTGACACCCTTGCACATCCAAGGAAGCTGCTGTTCCAACAGGAGCACCAATTCCTTATCCATCCTTATATTGTTTTCCCTTCTGTTGCTTATAACGTAAGTACTTTCCCTCTATTCTTTCTTTAGGATTGCAATTTCGGTCACTAGCAGCCCCAACAATCACAGATTTAACAGAGAACAGTTGAGGAATGCATCCTTGCCCCCAGTACCCATTCCTTCCATATCGGGCAAGCCAAATTCAGTACACAGTATTTTGCCTCTGGTAGAAAGTTCTTGGTCCATTTTATCCCAGGATCTACATGTGGGCCTAACAAGCAGGCATCCTTAATGCTCCTGAGAGAACACAGATCCATCTAGCATGTTTTAAACCTTTCACAAAAATTCCAGAAAAATACCACTGAGTACATTTCCACTACAGAGAGCATTATGTAAGAGTTATTAAAAAAAAAGGAACCGGCAGAGATGTATTAGAACTTTATTTCCCCATTTACCAGCATTTTGTATTCAGGGTAAGAAGATAGCAGGCTTTATTTATGTACAAAAACACAAGCAAGTTCATAATTGCATTAAGCTTCAGGCAGAACTGAGAGACCCATCTCTACAATGTATCCTCTACCAGGATAGAGGGGTTTGGTCCCAAGTCCCTGCAGCAGTGAAGACCCAGGCAACGTGTAAACTGAATTCTATATAAAGCTAAAAAGATATTTCTATAACTTAAAACTATAGGTTACTCTCCTGAGCTGAAAGCAAGGCTTTTTTAAGCAGTAGGGGGAAAAAAAAAAGTGGTTTTTGCTAGGCCTGTCATTGGCAGAGATCACTACTTCAGTACCCTGCAGTTAGCAGCACAAATTACTCTATGACAGGGTGACTGTATTTTAACTTGTTTCTATTTTGGACAAAATCAGCCCCTTGGAGTTCTGCAATACACACAGCATCTGTATTCTGGCCTGGAAAACTGTATTTAGTGATTGCCCGATGCTAAGAAAAGCATCATGTTTAATGTCGTTACAACTATGGTCAGTCGAGGAGAAAAAGGCTAATCCTGCCTCAGAATGTCCCACACATGCAGAATAAGAAAAGCATGGTTTTTTTTTCCATTATTACTACTATGGTGGCCTGGCAGGCAGGAAGATTTTACACCTAGCCCTATGAGTTCTCACCACAACCCTGTTCCGTTTGCTTAATTCCTCCTACATGGGCGGTTTAGAGGTTTAGACTAATGTGTTCTGTCTTCTTGTGATGCTCCAAAAAAGCCTTTAACTGCGCTTACCCGAACTGTCCGTCCTATGAGACGCTTTGTTCTTCCCCCCTTTCTCTTTGCTTCCTTTGGTGAAGGCTGCCAGCTTGGTGGGAATCTGCTGCTGGACGGCAGCGGGTTTCTGGATCTGGTTGGTTGCGCTCAGGAGGTGGATGGGCACTTCGTTCTTCAGCGCCAGCACGGGACGGCTCTCCAGGGTGGCACTGTCCCGGCGAGCCAGCTCCGGCCGCTCCAAGTATTCCATGCCCGAGACGCTGACTCTCCCGGAGGTTTTCAAGGTGGGCAGAGATGGTTCTAGCCCTTCTCCGTTGAAGCTCATGGAATGGCCCAGCATCTGATTTTAAATAAGGGGGGAAAAAAGGGGTTTCTAAGTGAAACTGGCATTTTCAGTGCTGCACTTTGTGATAAATGAAAAAGACTAAGGATTTGCCAAGCTCCAACATCTCTCACTGCAGTCCCTGTCAGCTATTTAGATGATGACACACGAACCCCTGCGAAAGGCAAACAAGGATGGCCTCTTTCCAGAGTTACGTCGTTGAGACATCAGTGCTACAAATAAAGGCAGCCTTCACTCAGAAGCAAGCAGGATTGGAAACTAAGCTCCAAGAAGGCCAGCTGCTTACCTGCCCCAACTCCGGGGAGCACGCGCCTGACACCGTGTTCTGCTTCTTCAGCTTCCTCAGCTGATCTAGACGCTCGCGCTCTTTCTCGACCGCTCTCTGGGCCTCCCGCAGCCTCTCCAGGTCGTGCTGATAGGCCTCTCGCTGCCTCTCAAGCTCTTCCTTCTCCTGGCTCAGTCTCTCTTTCAGCTGCCGAATCTCCTCCTCCCGCTCCTGCAGCCGGGCTTCGGTGCTTTCCAGTTCCCTCTGCTGCCGGCCTCTCTCCCGTTCCCAGCGCTGCTGCTCCAGCTTCAGCTGGCTCTGCAGTTTCTGGACGTTCATCAGTTCTTCCCTCTGCTTCTCGAAGTTCCGCTGCTTCTCCTGCTCCAGCAGCAGGTTGCCCCGCGTCGACTGCAGCCGGTACTGCTTCTCCCGGTCCACCATGGTGGCTCGTTGCATCTCAATGTAGCTGTCCTGCTGAGATATCACTGCCTGGGGGGAAAGAGAATTCCACGTGGAGCTCATGGGGTAAAAAAAAAAAGGTCACACACAGCAAAGCAAAAGCAGCAGCATCTGCCAGAGCTGCTCGCCGAGACCTCTAACTTGCAGGTCTAACTTGCACAGAATAGCCTGAACAGCAAGATACTACAGATGGCTAAGCAAAATGGTATTCCTACATACGTCAAAAGTAACACCTTTTGCATGTAAAACTAAGACTCTGAATCTAAACGCAATCACTTACAATATTGCTTATTTTAAAGGTATAGTAAATATATACATACAAGCATGTATCAGTAACAATTTTATTACGAGATGCAGGAGCAGGGAGCTCAGGTAGAGCTTGAAGCCCCACAAGCAAGGAAAGGGATTCAATTGTTTCAGACAACATCTACAATTCTTCCAAAAACTGGACATGGTGTTTCCTTAAGACCCACATCTTAAACTCTGCGGTCCACTCTAGCATGTTTAGGAGATGTTGTCCAAGGTAATTCCCTCCATCCCTACCTAAAATTCATTAAACCTGATGCTTAACAAAATTTCTGAGACGGTACTTAGTGGTTTTACCTGTAGACTGAAGAGCAACTGCAACAGTGTTTGTATTCGTCGGACCAGCTGAGGAGGGGAGGCAAGGAGGAAAGAAGACATTAAGCACTGGGGAAGAGATCTCTGTTTTGATGCAGAATTCATACTTTTATATATATTTATAAACATAACCAAAGCTATCTAAACAGAATGCACATACAGTGGAAATACGGCAAGAAGGGCATTTCAACGTGTGAAGAGCTAATGGAGCAATATGCAGGCACAATCACAATGTGAGAATATTCACCTTTGCACAAATACACCCTCCAAACCCACAGGGATTCCCGGAAGGAATCGTCATCATCTGTTTTTATTTATTTATTTATTTTTACACGGGCTATTTAATGACCACTTCAGCCTCCATGCAGCATTTGAGAGAGGCTCAAGGGCAAATTTTGCCAGGGAGCTGGGAACATGCAATCCTTCCAAAGACACGGAAAAGCGGCTAGCTCACTCTTTGAAACATTATCTTCCTACCTAACCAGAACCCATCTCTGTTTTCTAATAGGGCTTTTATCTCTGCATTCATAATGCATTAGGAGCCGTAAGGTGCAGCGAGCTTGAGGTGCCGCAGACACTGAAATGCTGTTTTCTTTTGCATGGTATTATTACAGTTAATTCCCTTTACATTTCCTAACAGCAGAAGCAACGTACCTCAGACTCTATGGTGGGCTGCAAACCGCTTGTTGCATCGCTCTGGAAAAAGAGAACAGCAACGTGGGTCCTAGAGCACCCAGCTCGGGCAGGGGCAGTGCTGCCAAAACATTTTGGAAGTGCTCAGCTCATTAGGGAACAGTCTACAGCTGGAACCCAGATTGCTGCCCTAACCTGAAGGAAACATCTCAAAAGCAGTGAAGCCAGAGGCCAGGCCGAAAGAAATGCAGGATCATTAAAGCTAGAACTAAAGGTACAGGAACAAATGGACAAACGTTCAAGCAAATTATCATGCCTCTCAAGAGCTAAGCTACAAAACATCAACTTGCCCCACTGAAATAGCCTTAATAGAGTTAAGCAATTCCACAGAAAGCTGTTACAGCCCAACCCTAGCAGCTATTAGGACTTCTGGCCTTTAGAAGTTTGTTCTCTACCGCTATCATGATAAGGGCCATCAAGAAATACATTTGAGTTATACATAAGCCTAACATACCATTTGAGATCCTTCTTCTGCATCTAAAGGGAGGTCGTGGAGCTGCACATCTGAATTCACTGCAGGGCCTTTCCAGTCCCACTGTCTCTGCTCACCGCTGCTGTTCTTCCTGAAACTACCATCTGAAAGAAGAATGGAGTATGAGGGGCTCACACCAGCAAAGAGCTTGTGAAAACTCACTGCATAACAAAGCACATAGGGAAAAAATGTCATTTTGAAGTTAGAATCATACTGTAACTGCACAGCTTATCCATACCAAAAAGCAGAGACACACACAACAGGAAGAACAAGACTACTCAAAAATCTTAAAAAAAAAAATTAAAGAGTATTAGTTAAATAAACAGGGAGAATAAGGTCAAGTAATATTATATTTATGCTTAATTTTTATGTTGAATTGTGAGAATTAAAAAGTATTTAATTAAAAGGTATTTAATTAGTAGGTTCAGGTAATAGTTGGAGCTTGTTAAGGGCATTAGGAGCCCTACTCAGCTCTCCAGTATTGGGACTGGAAGCACAAGATACAACATGCTGATTCTACCTGACATCTAAATATCTGCATAGGCTCCCACAGGTCCCGTTTCTTACTTTTATTTGAAATGGAGGGGCTGCTGTCATAACCTCCAAAGGTCTCAGCTCTCCTGGGGAGTCCTGACCCAAAGCTTTCTTCGGGCTGGCCAAATCCACTGCCCAAATGAGTCAAGATGAAGTTTTGGAGATTTTGAGCTAGGAAAAATGAGAAAATATCATTTTAAATAGACATGTACACAGTGAGACAACTGTGTTGTGCTAGCAAGCCACAAAAATACTTCAATCATCACGTATATTGATAGATCAGGAAGCTGGACAGCTTTTGTACACTATGAATGCATTTTCTCATATGATTATCTCCTTATGATGGACTTTACATATTGCACATATGAAGATAACCTTCTTCTTGAATATAAGATAACCTTCTTGAATATAAGATTAGGTTAGCATTAGCATTTGAGTGTGTTTTTTTTTTTTTGTCAGACTCCAAGTGATGTCTGTGCTTATTCTTTCTCAATATGCCTTCCCTAGATAGGCTATCTTTTCTAGAAGTCTCTGATATAAATAAATAAATAATCCAAACTAAGCCAAGATTCTCTATGCAAACACACAGGGTGCATTTTACCTACCTTGAAGATGGGTTCTGAGCCCAAGGAATCTGAACAGCATTAGGTGTGACTACTGCAAGACTTTCAGGACTAACAAGCTGCACTTTGATCTTGTGTGCTGACCCACACTTGTCTCTGTTTATACACACACACACACACACACACACACACACGCATTCCTGCACTGCATTTACCTTCTGTCACTGCAGACTTCAAGATCACCTCTCCTTGCAGATTCTCTGAGATATCCCCCCGAAGCAGCAGCCTAGATCGGCTACCTTGGGACTGGTCTTCAAAGCCATTCATTTCAGACATTTCCAGATAAATCTGTTGCTTCTCGGTCAGACTTTGCACAATCAGGTCATCTTTCAGGTTCAAGCGCTCTGAAGAAAGAAACAAACTCAAGTTGTGCCCCTGAAATTAACTTACTTCACTACTTCTACACAGTCTTGCACTACATTGTTGAATAGATTATATATATATATATAAATATATATTAAAAATATATAAAATAGATAAATATGTTGAAAGACTTATAAAGGAGAAGCTCGCTCACATCATACGACAGAACAAGATGGTGATAAATCACAAGTGACGCCGAGAAGCTGTTTGTGGAATATATAACCAAGCCTTGTGGAATATATAACCAAGATTTACCTTGAAAATCTTTTAGCTTAGCAGCTCTTGCTTCAGCCAGCCTCCTTTCTGCTTCATGTTCATTAAATGTCCCTTCTTCTTCATCAGGACAACTGCAAAAAGGGGGAAACAGAAAGACGCACACCTTACACATTAGATAAATTACAGCCATCTCAGGATTCAACGCAGGTCTTTGCTTAGGACGTGCTTTATCTTCTGCTAATCTTCCTCCCTTACGCGAAGCCCTGGCTCATGTGGCATCAGCGAACTCACTTTTTGGTTTTTAAAAGAAACACGACAGTCTTAGGATGGTTTTTCTTGCATCTTTTATGCATGAATTCTTCACAATAGGCATACACAGAAGTACATACTTCACTCTTACAAAAAAAAAAAAAAAAGGTGTTTTGGGATAGTTAAATGTATTTTTAGCTAAAGTTACTCCTATGAGGCCTGCTGAAGAGGAGATAGACGAGCAAGAAACCAAGCCCTCCGGCTTTCATTCATAATTTACCTTTCTACAGCTCTGCGAATGTGAGCCATCCAGGAATTCCTCTCTTCTTTTGAGCTTGTATGAATTTCATACATTTCTGGTCCTTTTAAGGAAGCACTAATTAAGAACATTGCTTTTTCCTCATTAGCTACCTCTCTTACAATCAACTTTTGCAATGAGATAACTGGTGGTTTAGAGTCCTGTGAAACAAAATATAGTTTATTGCGCTATATTACAGACATTCTTTAGGGTTAGTGCTTCTTAGCCCCCGCCCATTTCCTATTTATATAGGACCATCACGAGCTGTAACATTATTACTCCACTACTATGGCCTTTCCATATGACACTTTTGACATCTGTCTTCTTTTATGCATCACCCATAGATCAAAACACTGAATATAGAATGTACATTCACAGAGTAACAGGTCTTGGTACCTGGTCGAGTATTAAAGTATGCACTGAACATTTCCACCGCTCCCAGAAATCAAGCAAAGGCAGATCAAGCAAAAGCAAATCAAGTTAAAGGCAAGAAGCAGCGTTTTCAGTTAGCCATTACGATCTGTGAAAGCAGCCCCACTCTGTGCATTAGAACACTGTCAATTTAAAAAGCCACGGCTTTTATACCCCTGAAGTCATCCAAATAGCTTTAGCCACCACAATTCAGCTCTTATGCTAATGTCTTGAAGAAAGAATTATATATCCAAAAAAAACCCCTCAATTACATAAAATAAATAGCTTCTCTGTTCCTGGTCCCATTACAGTTGTAAGTGAGCAAGATCCGTACAAAATGTGCACAACTAACTGCTCTGAGGATACCTGTGGAAACGACCTGAGAAAAACAGGCAAATCTACTGAGTGCCCCCAAGTGCTGCAGTAATTACCTTTCCATTTAATGCTGGCTGCTTCAGGAAAATTCTCCACCTCCATTAAGTCATGGCTTACCATTTCCCTAGTTGCAGTGGAAGATTTTTTCCCTTCATATTAATTTGTGCTTTAATATTTGTGATTTTTTCCCCTTCATATTAATGTACAGAAGAAGACCTTATTTGCAAGTGCCTTTCAAACTAGAGTCCTAGCACGTTTAACACATAAGACTTGTACAAATAGCAGCATAACAGAACTTGGTGAAAGGAAAAGTCACAGCGTTAGATCAGAAGAACATAGTGAGCCCCAGGACATGCTCAAGGCATCAGGAAACCACAGGAGATGCCACAGCTGGAGCAGAGTGACACAGAGGACGGTTGTTGTGGACCAACAGACAGCATGAGCCCCAGGGTTGCTTCAAGAGAAGCGACTCTATTCTAGCTACCTTGTTTTAACTTCATTTTCCTTCTGAACCTGCCACATATCTAACATTTCTATCTTTATTTCTTTTGCAGTTACTGCCACTTTCAGAAATACAGTGAGTAAGTGTATTAACTAAGGAAATCAATACCTACCACTGATGCAAATACATATTTTTGGTCCTTTTCTTGTAATAGCAAAAGCACATCAGTTAACAGGACTGCCAGAATATCTACGGTGGAAACAGAAGGACAAAAAATAAGTTATTTTCAATCAAACGGATTCTTGCAGACTCAAAATCACTTAAATTTCCTGTGCGATATGGATATACCAACATTTGCAACATGGGGTCTCCTACCACATTGTACTCGGGCCCTACAAAGAGCCCATGTGCGTGCAGAACCAGCACAAATGGCTCGTCTGAAATTTTAAAACGCCTGTTTAGGATCGCTACACACGGGCTCAAAGGTTCGGGAGGAAACACTGTCTCCCTCCACTGCAGATTCTTCTGGAACTGCAGATGTTCACAGCACCAGGGACTCTCAGATCCATTATGTAAGCCAGTGAAGCTTCTCTTTGAACATTTGAGCAATGAAGCTCTTAAAATATTCCCTGATGGATGTTGCTTTGATTTTCTGGCAAAACAGGTATTATGTAGAATGAAGGTGTCCTGGGGTTGACATGACACGATTTTTCAAAGTGTGAACCAGAGCTCGCACAAGATAATGTCTTTCCACAGGAGACTAAGTCTGGATGACTCAAAGCTTTGTCATCTAGCTAAAGACCTCCCACTTGAATTGGAAAGCAGATCAGACAGATAACAAGCCAACAGCACAAGGAACTTATCATGCACCATCAGAGAGATGCTTATTGGACAGGCCAAGAATAGAACAAGTGCTATTTCCTTCCACATCCTATTAAACAAGGTTTCTGCCATCCTGTTTTATACCCAATCAATCGGTAATAAACAGTTACTAAACAGAGAGAAATCTCGTTTCCCACTTGCACTTTCTCCCTTTCTAGCCCTTTACCTTTGAGTCGCCCTGATGCAGCTTTCCAGTAGAGCATCCCATCCAGCAGAAGCCGCCTCTGCCCCATATCGTCCTTCCGGAAGAAGAGCCCATTCTTAAATTTCCCGGATGATTTTAGCTCCATTTTATGCATAATCTCTTTAAGGCGTTGCCCCTTCTCACACTCATTTACCATGGCATCCACATGAGTGATTGTGTCCTTAATTAAACCGAGAGCCCGCGTCAGCTCTTCATAATCTTTAGTTCCAGCTACAAAGAGGCAAGAGGAGCAATTAGGCAGATTTTGAACTCCGGAATGCAAAATGAACCAGCCAAACATACTTTAAACACAAAAAAGTTTCACACTCAATATCTAACAATAATTTCTAAGAGCATTAGGATAAATAATGTCAGAAAAGACTCCTAAAGAACTAAATTCGCAGGGAACTGACTTAATTCAGTTAAATAAGCCTTAAATAAGAGACTTAATTACTATGATTTCACAGTGGTAGGTTTGAAACTGAACATTCCTGCTCTAGACCCTCTGATGAGTTGTTACTGATTTGGATCTGTGTCTAGCACCACATCTCCTGGTAATAAAGAAGGGAGGAAGCAGGTAGAGAGTAGCACCAGCCTGTCCTTGAGGACAAGGAAGGCAAAGCATCAATACACAACATCAGGCATCTGGGAAGGATGAAGCCAATTACCTTCAGTATTCTGAATAATACGTTCCACCAGCACTGGGTATTTGGTGATGCGCTGTGTGACTAGAAGGATACACTCCTGAACACCAAGTCTCCTTACAATGGAGCAGTTCCCTATTTTCTAGAAAACAAAAGGCAGATCATTGACATGCTCTGTATCTGTTGCTCTTCAGATTCCCTCCCCTCTCCATTCCCACATGCTCTGTCTCAAAACATTTTTGGTACAATAATAATAGATATAATATGTATTTATTCTACCCTATTTTCAGCACTATGTGGATCTACACAAATACATTTCTATTTAGAAAAAAAAAAAGGACTGTCAACACCTGAATCTCAATAGCTGGCCTGACTCCAGATGGCCAGGATATAATACCAAGCTCTTCTCTGTCAAGAGCTGAACCTACATATTTTAAAACTCAGTTTGTCCACTTATTTGGTTCATGGAAAAGAGAACTTCTTCACTTTTGAAGGCAGCTAGTTAGGAACTATAACTACAGAGCCGCGTTGGAAAGTTTACCCAGTATCACTTACTAGAGACTGGAAAATGAGAATACTTTGAACTGTGCAATGTCATCGAAGGCTCAGGTTTCTTCCCGTTTGGCTGCCTTTCCCCAGCCCTTCCTATTAATTGCACATTACAGCGTAGAGCAGATAAACAGAACACACTAGAACAAATCTCCTGCTTTTGGAAAGACCTAGTGGGCAGAACTAGAGCAATAATACCTACCTCTTCCATAGCACTTTATCAGCAGCATGAATCACAGCTTTATCAAACCAATTTATGGAAGCTGTCACTTACTATGGAAGCCAGTGACAGAGCCATGAATAAAACAAATATCCTAGTCCCAGCCAGGGGCACTTGCAAAAGAAAACATTTGCTTGCCTCCAGTTTAACACCTGTTTATTGTGGCTTTGTGTCCAAAGAGCTCAAAACACAGAAAGCTAACAGGAATAACAAGGTCATGCTTCTTTAATTCCAATCATGAAAGTTTAACTGATCTCCAAGAACAAAATAAATACCAAGACAGTCAAATATGTGTTGCTCAGTCAGAATGGAAGGTTTCTAACTGTATTTACCTTTATTAAGTTTTGGAACTTCTTATTGCTTTGGAGAAGGTCTTTATAGTGACCGACAGCTTCATTGTGACCACAACAGAACACGCCGTATTTTTCTTTCATTCTCTCCCCATTTTCACCTGAGAACTGAATGGAAATATAAGGATGGAAAACATGCATCATTAACAATATACTTGCACACTACATGACCTGGATTTAACCAGGTTTTACGATAACTGACTTCTGCGATAATGTTTGATATTTCCATTTCCTCTTTCTCAGAAGTGAGTTATGCAACGTGACACGCAGTGACACCAGCAATATGTTACTTGACTTTTGGAACAGATGAAAAATAAAACTGAATCATTTGCAGCAGCATCCCACACAGAGACTGCAGGAACTAAAGGAAAACCGTTTAGTGAACATTCCACATTATTTGTACCGCTGCATTCCTGGGATCACCCCAGGAATCACCCACTAAACTAGGAAGACAACCTTAAAACCAGTTAAATGAAGAATCTATTATATTCATGCCTTACAGGATAAAGACCTAAATGTATGCTTAAAGTTAGGAACTTAATAGTGGCAGCTGATGTTAGGAGAACTTAATTCACACCTGTTTTACCAAGATGTCCCCTATGTTCCGGATAATATAATTTCGGTCACTGCCTTCTTCCAAGGATTCTCTTCGACGCTCCTTTAATTGCAGCAGGAATTGCCCGTGGAGCTCCAGCAACTCGTCCACACAAGGGAAAAGCTTGTTGATGACTGCGTTTGGGAACTGCAGTTCCTCTCTCATGGCTTTGGAGTACACTTTCAGCATAATTTTCAGCGTTCTGACATGGTGCATTTCAGTCTGCATTAGTTCTAGGAAAAAAAAATAACCGTAAGTCATTTACAGCGATCAGTACAGTGATTAGTAAGGATATCACAGAGCAGACTCTGAAGGGCAATTTCTTTTGCTAGTAACTGGCAAACCTATCACCAGAAATACAACAGCCAGGCTGGTTGTCTTGGATCTATAAAATGTCTCCTATTTACCTCTCACTGGCATAAACTACTAGCAGAAGAGCTATATTGATAGATACTCAATGCCATAAAACCTTCCCCAGTTCTATGGGAAGACATACACATTGCTAGTTTCTGAAATTAAGTACTTCCAAATATGTTTTCAGTAAAAATAACAAATACCTTCTTTTTAAAAGAAAACAAGTCCCTCCTGAGAAATCTGGTGTACCAGTTGTCCAGACGAAAAGTCTACTGTAATCTACACCTATTATTTAGGACAAAAATATACAACACTATTTCTAATTCCTTAAAAGAAAAAGGAGAGAATAAACTGTTTTCAGCTTCAGAGAAGCAAGAATACAGACACAAGGAGAAGTCTTGTCCTGAAGCCAGAGAGACTGGTATCAAAACATCAGGAATAACTACTTCCTTATCATCACAAGGATAAATACTGCAACAAATAGTAAAGAGCACCTTTGAAATCTCTGGTTTTGAAGGTTAAGAACAGGTTAAACAAAGTCCAGACATGTAGGTGCAGCTCATTTTGTGGCAGGCCCACCATGAGGACTAAATGGCATCTTTATTTTCCCTTCTGGCTTATCTTTTTATTATTCTAGAGCTCAACAGCAGTAAAGCACTCCGGGGCTGTCCCTATAGCTTTGCTAGGGTATGCAGCAGCACTGAGAAAAGAATATAAATGTCATCAATGTGAAGTTCTTAAATTTGGCCCTTCAATCTCCCATCTAAGCAGTGACTAAGATTGATCCTACTTATTTAATGACATCTCCCAGTTGAGTGAAGGATGTATGGGACAGGCATACTGAAAACTATTAGCTGCTCAAAATTATTAGCAGGAGAACTTATGCACGCTGAAACAGGAAACACACCTTAAAATCTTTACTTAGTTTTAGTTTCCAAACACAAGTGAAAATCGAGAGCCTATTAAAGCAGTGATTTCTACTTCATTTCCAAGTGGTAGCATTATGAAGTAAAAGAAATACTCAATAAATATATATATATTCTCTTACCATAAATGACATCTTGCCTTTTTATAACTTCTTTCTTTTGCCTTTTTGCATAAGGCTGCTCTACTGCAACACTCCAAGACTCTGCCTCAAACTCAAGAGCATCGGTTTCTATTTCACTTCGGAGATACACAGAATACGCATCTGCATCAAAAACACATTTTATTTCACTTATCAGCAAATTGCACCGAGCCAGCTCCCTCATTACCATCATTAACGAGAGGAAAACATCTGTCTTGTTTTGTTCAGACTGTTTTAGAAATTGTATAGAATCCTGTAAAGCACAGAAATTCCATACCTTCCAGAAAAATCGAGTCTGACGTTGACGGTGCAAGGGAGACAACATCATCTGATGTCTGCTTGAATTTTACAAATCCAGAATCCCCTTCATCCATGTCTCCTGAAATCAGTCTGAATGGCCAAAGAAATGTGACATTAATATATAAATATATATTGAAAATAAATTTTAGTCCATAAAAATATTATATATAAAAAACCCCCGCAAACCTCTAACTCCCATAGCAAGCATCTTTCCTTAATTATAGTGCAATTACGTTCAAATAAAAATATAAAAGCTATCGTTGCACTCCAACTTTAAACCGTCAAATCGATGGAGTAACTTAATAATAATCATTTAAATGTTATAGTTTTAATTAGAAGAGCAGGAACATGCAAATGCTGGTATGACATTTTAAAAGGCATCACTGGTGACAAGACAGACCCAGTTCAAAGTACAAAGAGCATTTTCACTGAGAATTGAGCGTAATTGTGGCACATTAAAAAGGCATAAAATACAAATAGTATGTCTTGAATTGTCTAATATTTTAACCGTGTACTGCAATTCAAAACACTGCTGCTTCCTACACTAGTCAGGACTAGTAATATCTAGAATAAATTATTTCAGAAAATATTCCTGAATTTCAGCAAGCCTGAAAATTAATATACCCCTGAAAAAGAAAACACAGAAATACTACTGCAATATTTCTCTGTTTATATCATGCTTTGTGGCACTGTGCAGGAGGACTAAATAAGAGGAGTTGATTTCCACAGACAAATATCTTACTGTTTAGGGGACATTTTAAATCAAATTCAGCATTAGAAGCCGACTGAATCACTTCTGAGTTTGAAAATAAAACCAAGCTCTTGTTTTAATACAGAGATTAGCTTTACAAAGGAGGGACTGCAATCAAAGCAAGTGGATCAGAAGTGAAGCACTTTACTCACCCGAATTTATTAACAGTTCCCGCAGTATTCAGCGAAGACTGAGAATTTCCTCTCGGGGCGATAGTCATACCGAGATTCCGCGATAATACTGGGGTGCCATCCGGTCCCAGGAGAAGCCCTCGGGGCTGCTCCTTCAAAGAAGCAGCTAGGGAGGCAAAAATGGAATTGGTGCTCAGAAAATGAGGCTGCAGATCGCCTGCTCTCAAACCCCTCTCTGAATGCGGCCGGAGAACAGACAGGATCTTGGATGTCAAGAGCTCGTTGTCCAAAAAGACATTCTCATTCCATTTTCTTGAAAAGGAACCACAAAAAGACAGCTCAGGACGAGCTGGAATCGCATTGCTTCTGCCGCTGCTTTTTGAATTTGTATTCCCCATGCTCGCTCCTGGCTGCCCTAAGACTTGGCACAGTAACGTGGCCCCAGAGATGCTCTGGTTTTATACTACCTGTGATCCTTCTAGAAATGTAAAGCTGCCACTTAACCTACTGTATCGGCTAAATCAGCAGGTCTGAAGTGCAGGAAATTGGTCCCTACTGTGCCCATTTAGTGTGGAAATTGCAAAGTATCTTCTCCTTTAGTGAAACACCAGAACCTACACACAATTATTCACACCCTGCCGTATAAGGGGACAGAACATTTCATGGCAAACAAGAAAAACCTGAGATCACATAAAAACCACCAGTTCTCCGCAAGCCTTATTGCTGCATAGAGATTTATATCTGCCTGCACACACACAGAACGGAAAAGATATCAGAGCTAAATTTAATTTTAATACTGCAGCTTTTTAATGCCTTTCAAACCTAGACAGACTTTGAACCGGAAAGATATTTAAAACCTTAATCTCTATTTTACAGTAGGTGGAAGCCTGTAATAGACTGATTAAAAAAGGGATATAATTATTTAACACTGATGTCTACAATGAATGATAAGGACTGGGAGACAAAATGCACCCTTTAAAAAAAAAGGAATTTTGGAGATGTCAAAGATGGGGAATCAGTCAATCTCCAAAAGTTTGTGTAGCTGAGGAGGTCGAGAGCTGCCTTCTCTTCAAAGTGCTTTTAAGGACATGGGAGTGTAAGACGCCTCAAGGATCCTTGAGCCTGGGTCTCTGCTACTGCAGCCAGGCTGTATCTTGCAGACAAGCTGAATATCTCTCCCACTGCCCTGCCTGAGGACCCTGCTGCTGTAGCAGCTCAGGAGGGTCTTCAACTTCCAGCCTGGCTTTACTGATGGTCAATTTAGAACTTGTTCCTTTGACAATGGTGGTGCTTATCCATCCCAAATGATGTCTGTTTCTTAGTATGTCCTCTTCAGCATACTGCCATGGACAGGGATCTCTCCTTCCACTTCTGTTTTGTTCAACCCAATACAGCTAAGCCAAGGCATTCAAGGTTCTTCTCATAAGACAGATTTTTCCATTTTTCCTATATCCTATGCTCCACATCTGCTTGTCTTTGAGCTCTCTTCCTTAAAACACTCAACTAGAACTGCATGCAGGGCTGCAAATGAGAGCTTACCCATGACTTCCAGCACAAACAATGTCAGGAGAGCTTTTACCCACTCCCGGTACCTCCCAGGACCCAAATTTCCTGACTGCACCATACAGCTGATTCTCAATCCACAACTGACCAATATCTCCTTTATCAGCATTTTGTTTCACAGTGCTAGGGGTTGTTTCATAACCCCACTAGCTCCAAGTTAAAAACCCCTCAGAGGCAAAATACGAAAGGGGCACAACTTGCACCTCTCAAAACGTGTTTCTCTTATGTCGATACCTTGGGTTTTTTCTGCTGGCTGCTCATGTCTGAAGTGTTAATACTAAGGGTAAAGACATAAGATGGCCATGTAGCTGCTCCTTTAACCTCCTGCTCCTGCTTTTGACTATGGAAAATAAGCACTGGCTGCCTAGCAGAGGCTGCGCCACCAAAAAGCCATTTTCTGAGTTCAATTAGCAGTGTCTGCACACTGCTGAGTCGCCATCGATTGGTGTTAAGCTCTGTACCAGAAAGACCAGACTCTGTACCACAGAGCAGCTCCAAGGACAAGCCCCATGGCCAACCTGTCCTATTATTCCTGTTTGTTTCCTATTTTAGCCCCTGCACTTTGCCCTAAGTGGACAAGGACACTCTCAGCAACACAAAGGACCATTTGCTATAACGATTCTTCCCTCTGTGCAGTCCTCGGAAAGGATTGTTTCCTGAAGAAGTCAAAGCTTGAAACACAATTAGGGGTACGGAAGATGGATGTAACCTTCAGAGCAACACCCAGACATAGAATCATTGAATCCTTAAGGTCGGACGGGACCTCTAGGGATCATCCAGTCCAACCCCCTGCACACGCAGGTCACCCAGAGCACCCGGCACAGGCTGTGTCCAAGCAGGGTTTGAAGATCTCCAGAGAAGGAGCCTCCACAGCCTCCCTGGGCAGCCTGTGCCAGGGCTCTGGCGTCCTCATTACTAAGAATTTTTTCCTTAAGTTCCTGCAGAACTTTTGGGGCTTCAGTTTGTGGCCGTTTCCTCTAGTTCTATCAGTGGCCACCACTGCAAAGAGGCCGCCCCAATTAATAAACATCTTAGGGCCTGAGAAATATTTCTGTTAACGACTTCCTAACTTCTACCAACTAAAATACCATTTCAACCAGTGGCTCCAATGTCTCCTTTACCTGTAAGTTTTCCACAATTACTTGAGTAACCTTATTCCCAAATAACAAGCATCAAAAGTAGAATGGCCAGTGTCTCTATCATTTCACACTTCATGTAATTACCAAAGTAATTTATTTTTATATGTAATAAAAGCTTTTAAAATTGAACTGACAATGTAACCAGTCTTAAATTCAACACAACATGAAAAAAAATCATTCTTCCATGTACCACTGAAATATATCATCTGTCCTTTTTGCAGGTATTATTTCCACAATTCTGGAATATGAGTAAAAAGAAGGGTCACAATCATACAGTTTGGGAAGAAGGCTCTTAAATGGTGAACATGCCAAAGAACTCAGGAAAACCACATAAAGGAAAAAGGAAAACGCAGCTATTTGGTCTTTTCCAGTAGCAAAAAGCTATTTCAATGCCCATGCTGCAGAAGAGCTGTTCTTTCTTCTTCTTTTTTCTTTTTTCCCCCTAGATCAGCCCTTTTCCCACTTTGTCTCAACAAAGATTTATGTTCAGACCATTTATGCTAGCTCGTCTTAGAGATTTCTAGCAACCAGTAGCTGCAGGCAAGTTTTAAATAGACAATTATGAAAATCTGATGTAAAACCAAGTTCACAGTTCTAGTCTTTTCAGAGGCCAGAGAATAGACAATCAATGAGAAACTAGCTTATTGATCCCTCTCCATCATGATATTTTGAGGTTACACAGTAAGAAAGTATAAAGGAAAATAAAAAGATAAAAAGATAAAAACACACAGGAGATTGCCAGGAGCCTCTACAGCCATTCCCAATAGGAAAAAAAATGAAACCATCTTATTAAAAGAGACCTCTTCTATACTTCAATAACACACTGTGTATAGCCTTTAAAACATATTAAAGAAAAAAGACACAATTGAACAGATAAGCCTTGAGCACAGAAATCATTCTTTAGTACAAACCTGGGGAAATGCACTGGGCCGAACTTTGGGGAGATCCAGAAGGTCTGTGCTGGAAATCTTTCTGCTACAGGAAAAAAATACAATATTCTTACACATACAGACCAAACTTTCAGGCCAAAATGAACCATGTTTTCCCTATTATATAACACAAAGTGTAAGCAGAGCTTTATAGTGAAAATATAAAAGATTTGACACAGGCACTTGTGGTTTTTTTACTGCAGAACAATGGTATATTGACATTTACATTACATATAAATACTCCAAGTCATATCCAGGCTGAAGTTGAACCAAAAAGGAAAAGTTACAGCTGGATCAGCAGTGGTTTGCATGGGAGATGAAAGTCTGGACACAGTCAAGACTGGAAATTACATCTGTACTCCAGTTAGCATCCAATAAGAATAGAACGTTTATATTTGGAATCAAAATGCACATTGATTTTAAAAGTTTAAAGGTATATATGTATGGGTATATACCTATGAGTGTATATAGATACCTACACACAGGGGTAGGTACATAGGTTTATAAAACCATATACCTATCCTCAGAAAGGTTACATACTAAATTACCAGAGGCCAAAAGCATTTCCTCTAACCTTTAATTATCCCCCCAAAAAGCTCCTTTGCTCTTTCTCCCTCTCACAGCACTCTCTAACCTGCTTTCAGTCTCCAAAGTCACCAACAGTCCCAGGCTAAGGCAAAGTGAAAAAACTTGAAGTCTAAATGGCCTAAAGGTGGAGGAAATTATATTTAAGTACAATAGCAGAACAGAAAGTGCCAGGTACACAGCTATGGGAAAGCAACCTGTGACCTTGCAGGCAACCTTCAGCATCTCGGTGACAAAGATGAAAAGTGAACACCTTGACGAGATTTGAAGCTTATCATAGTTCAGAAAGGAAAGCACTTTTGCTGCTCTGCTATTCCTCTCTGCTGCTCTTTCTTCTGTCAGCTCTGAGATGGCACTGTATTTATAAATACAGTGCACAAAATTTGGAGGTATCAAATCAAAAATATCCATTTTTAAAGACAGGGATAACTCAATTATGTTCGTGGTCATGGTGTTTGTGCATTCTAAGGGCAACTCACAAATCTGACAGAAACAAAAAATGGAAAGTAGTTTTCAGCAGAGCAGTAAAATGTTTCGCTTTATCTTCCCTCCACAGATTCTCATAAACTACTATAAAGACGAGTTAATAACCATTCGATTTCTTGGAGATGCAAGGCAGGACTCCATGTCGGGCACTCACACTAAATTCAATTTATTATTTCAAGCAGCAGTATTTTCAAAACAAGCTGCAAAACCTACCCTGGGTCTGATGCTGCTGCATTCAGCCAGTAAATTCTTGCAGTTCTTATGGACATTCACTGCACAATCTGAAAAGCAAAACAAGCAAAAACTTAAAACTGGTCTTGCCATTCCCTTCTAGGGAAAGAAAAGCTGAGCAATAAAAGATTTGGAAAGAGATGCAGAGTCATTTTGGGTGTTTCAGTGAGAATCTCTGCTGTGCTTGTTCTTGATTTCCCATCAAATACTCAAAACTTTTTAAAATAAGAATCAGAATCACAGATAAAATTCAAACACAGAGACACCACTGAATGCACTAATACTATTCTCCTTAGTTTTCTCTTGACCACAAGACTACCTTCAGATCCTAAAATGTTATTTCCATGTCTCTCGTAATGTAGAATTAATACTATTCAAAAAGGAAGCAATTTATTTTGCTCCATACTTGTAGATGCCCTTTCTACATAGAGTATTAATAGGAATACTCTTAATTAAAGTGAATCTAATTAATTAAAAGAAAATAATTAAAGTGAAAGAGTTCAAAACACATTGCTGAATCCCTCAAGCATTGCCATCCTTCTGGCTTCACAAAGGAACTATGTCCAGAACAGGGATTAGAACAGCCCTCTCTCATCCAAAAGGCACAGAACCACTAATATCACGGCTAAACCTAATCTTGATTTTTCTCTTAACTTTCTCCTGAGAAAACAGGAGGATGAAAACTGGTGCTATCAACATCCTCAGAGTCTCTCTGCCCCTCTGTAAAGCCAAACGGGAACAAAACTAGGAGGTTGGACGCTGCATCTGCTGGAGAAAAGCCCATTTGTGTTTTCATTTGCAGAGGGAAAACAATTTAAGGCCTATTTACCCAAATGGAACTATTACCCGCTGCTGGGTAATAGCAATACCAAGAGCCGCCTCAGGGCTCCTGGCTAATAGGAATTCTCACTTAAAACTGTTTTTTCATAATTATTACTCATGCTCTCAGTGATGTGCAGTATGTTTGCTTGGCCTTATTGAAAAATTAGTTAATAAACAGATACAGAAACAAGTCCAAGAGAAAAACCGAACGCGTGGAACTGAAAGATGCATGTTATGCAACTTCTACATGGGAAACAGGATCAAACTACTGTACTTTAAGGGCTTATCATACACAATTTGGCACCATCAGAGTCACTCCCCAGAACTGGGATCCCATATCCCAGAACTGGGATATTTCTACTAGTATTTTACCACCCAACAAAATAAAAGTCACTCTATAAAGCTTCAGATAAACATTCCTAAAAAATGTGTGATGACAAATGTACCAAAATTGTTTACTTCCCGACGGTATGTAAAGGATGACTAGGCTATAGGCTATTTTGGCACTAATAAAGCCTGCATAAACCACTGGGAAACACAGAGCTTGTTAAAAACAGGCCAAAACAAACTCTAACTGCACTATTCGTATGCAGAACTTTAGTGATTAAGTTCAGTGATTAAGTTCAGTATTTCCCCCATTAAAGATGAGTAAAACTATTCCTACTTCAGAGACTTTGATATTTAATAGAAATTTATCAGAAGAATCATTCTAAAAGTATACAAATAAAAGACACCTAACTTTAGAAGAGGCAGACAGGAAGAGTTTTCTTCTCTGTATCATAATAAAGGTTAAGAGCAATCATTACCAGCAATAGAAGGAGAACTTAAGTAAAACCAGCATAGTGGTTTCTGGTTTTAAATGAAGCCATTTGTGATTAAATTGAGCATTTTAGGAGCACTACCTTGTCCCCTCTGCTTTCTAAGGGGAGGTCACTGCACCTGCAGCATTTCCTACTGGTTAAACATGATAAAAGATCCTGTTCACAACAATGAAAGTGATTTCTGGCAGAACCAAAACCCTGCTTATTAATGAGATGCCTTCCCAAAGGCACAAAACCCAAAAATATCAACTTGCAAGGAGCCGCTTAAGAGCATTTTGCTGGACAAGCCGCTTGTCCCAAAGCCCAGCACTGACTCACAATATTCAGGAGGGCCAAGACCCCAAGTGAAGCGCACAGCGGCGGTACCTTGCAGGGGATGAGACACCGGCCATGCCCTGTAAATGTCTCCCAGAATCGAATTCCAGGACAAATCTATGACTCACCAAATACGATGAGCATTATGACCCCAACCTTTGGTATGGCACGATACTGCCCAATAAAATAACTCTTAAACACCCATTTGCAAAATAACACTTAAGATATGCTGCAATTAGCCTAAAATTTAACTATTAACTTTTTCAATCATATATATATATATATATTAATGGCAGATTGAAATTAAGCTCAAACAAAGAGGGCCTTAAGGGCTGATTCTAGTGATACAAGGTGTTTGAACACTCCTAACGCTCCTATTAAATCCAACTATCAGAAATGCGTTGTGGACGAATCATCTCTCTTGTAAAACTAACATTTTTTTCTGCCATTAAATGTTAAGACACACAACACAACCACCGAGAAACGTTTCCAACTGCTGCATCCCGGAAAAAGCAGCCTGGGACTCCAGGAAGAGGAGGAGTTTCACTTGAACTCCAAGAGGTTCCCGTCCCCACTAAAACCAGGTCACGTATCCCGATAAATTCTGAACAGATTTCATTTCTCTCCCAATGAATTCTGAACAGATTTAATTTTTGTCCTAGTGGCTTTAGCGCTTATTTTGCTAAGACACCTCATTGAGCAGAGGCAGAAACCAAGGGCTGGAAGAGGGCCGAGTGACAAGATACAGTCGGAAACAGTCCACACCAGACAGCAACAACCCCAAATTACAAGGTTTCGGTTTCCCTGTTAAAACATTCCTCTTGCTCTCCATAAATAACCCTCGAGTTAGCTGCTCTGTGCTGCTGTCGTTACTGCCAAAACAGCAAGGAGACAGATTAGAACATTTTAGGTTATTCTCAATAAACTGCACCTCCTGGTAGGTTTCTCTTTCCTTTTTATCAATATAATTAGTATATAATCCTAAAAGGCTGGTTAGCACCATTTGAATTCTCTCATGCTAAAACCTTCCCCCACTTTCCGAAACCCTGCAGCAGGGCTGAAGCCGCGAGTGTGACACTCAGAAAAGGTATTTAAAATATTTCATGGGTAAACACCAGGTGCAACTACAACACGCAGGATCGGACGGCACCTGCTTCACAGCCACAGCTCACACATGTATTTATTTTTCTTAATCACAGCAAGGAGGCCCTTACGAGCATTTTATAATGTGAAAAGTTTTAAAAATATGCTGAATAAAGGAGAAAAGCTTTCCAAAGGGATGGGACCAATAACTTAGGAGGAGCCGGTTTGTTTCTCAGCTTTCTGAGGTCGCAGTAACCAAGCTGCGGTGCAAACTCTTTGCACAGGACTTGTCAACTTGCTCAGTTGAGCGGTGAACCCAAACACCAGAAACACGGGGAAAAAAAAACTGTTTTATTTAGGAGTCACCCCCGTTTTCTCCCCCTAACCGCATCCCCGCTCCCGGCTCTCCGGGGGTTTCTTTCCCAGCCCTTCCCCAGCTCGGCCCACAAGCCGATATCCCCGCGCGGCGGAACGGGGCGGTGCGGGCCTTATTTCAAGAGGGGCCCTCGCGGTTTCGGCTCCCGCCGCGCTCCTTCCACCGCGGCGCGTTTCGGGAGGCGCCGGGGCCTGCGGAGCCCCGGGGGGGTGGGGGGGGCGGCTCGCGGCCCCCGTCTCTTACCGGAGTCCCCGGGGAGCCGCCGCTCGCAACCCTCGCGCCCCGGAGCCGCCGCCGCCGCCACAGGAAGCGGCCCCGCGGCCCGGAAGCGAAAGGAGGCCGAGGGAGCGGCCGCGCGCGCGCCTGCGCCGAGGGAGGGAGGGGGGAGAGGGCGGCGCCCCCCACCTCAGCGCGCGCGCCCGCCACGAGCGCGCGCCTCTCCCCCCACCTCACGAGGGCGC